GAAGACCCCTAGTAAAACTTCCCGGAGAATAATTTTCTAGAATATATCAATCCTGTAACGACCTTCCAAATTTGCCTTTTGCGGGATTTCTTGAAGTAAGGGTCAAAATGAGCCTTTTAGGCGCGAGATAAAGGTTTAAAATGTTCTACAAAAATATGTGCCATGAAATTTTGGCTGGCTTCCAAAACGTCAACTGCTTTGCATACGTACAAAGTATAATATTCCATAACGCCGAACTACAAAATATTGACAATGTATACTTTTCCAAAACGCATAGTTAGAGCAATCAGCGCATCAGAAACAAAGTTGATGCTTCGTTTGTTATTAGTTACCATTTGTGTTTAAAAAATGGAAAATTCAGAACAATTGTTCATTGCAATGTATACGGTTGCAATGTGTCGCAACTCTGCATATACAAACAGTTTGAATACCGCGCAGTATAACAGTATCCAAACATTGTATTGATACGTTTTGGAAGTCAGTCTTTATTATATATGTCTTAAACTTTGATTTCGCTCAGACATTTATTTTAACTATTTTTTCGACTTTTCTGAAAACTACTTAGGCCGAGACATGGAAACTTCAGTAGGTCATGAAATAAAAATGCGAGCTAACTTTTGCAAATCCACCGGGTGTTTTATTACTGGATGGGTATACTTTCCGAGAATCTTAACAAAGTCCGGGCTGGTTTCGGCTGTCCCACAGTGTAATTTGAGTTTAACTTTTTGGACAGGTGGCCACTTTCCTCAAGCACCTCAAAAATATTTTAATTGTTGCATAGTATTTTAAGCACAACACTTTTTAACTATATTCGACGTTTCAAACAGGTGGCACTCCTCCTAAATATAATTAAAAAATAAAGCTTATTAAAACCATCGAATTGATACCTATATTGGGGTAATTTATATAACTTATTAAATAATTTGATTTTGATTTTCTTACATATGGCACAAAACTAAAACCATATTACACATCTACAGGGCAACCCCTTTCACTTAACAACTACTTCCGTTTTGAAAATCGAACGAACGATACAGATTTTATGACTTGGTGTTAAATATGTAACGCAAACATTTCCGAACTCGACTAAGAAGTTTAAATTAAACAAATTTTTGGAAAATTCGAAAAAATTCGAATTAAATCGAATTGCACCACCAAATTTTGAATCGAATAATCGAATGGTTGGGCAATGTCAAAATTCGGAAAAAATGGAATTTCAACCCCCCACTACCCATCCCTAATTGGTATGTATTCAAACGAAGAAGAATTCTGTGTTCGTATGGAATAGTAGCTTATGTGGAAAAGTTGGCTTTAATATAATGCGGCATTCGCAGCATACGATTGCGCATGACTCACTGGCGCCGAGCCGTCGAAGAACTTTTGGCAAATAAATGTGCAAGAAATAGTTCTGATACTAGCCATACCATATCCTTATTAAGTCTCATTAAAAAATTCCTTGTCGTTTAAAGAATAAAGGTAATGATGCCACATCATACTAAAGCCAGCTTCCCGACATAAGCTACTATTCCATATGAAAACAGAATTAATAACGTATGTATCTTGCTAAGTATTGATAAGCAACAAGAAAATCAATAAAAACTTACCAGTTAAACAAATTTGGTTGTCGCTCCACTCTCTTGGTCACTTTACTTTCCTCTCTAGCACAGTGCGTAGGCAACTGGCTGTGTCAGTGGTGATCATCGGTTCGAATCCTACTCAAAGAAGTCTGATGAGGAAATGTGGTGATTTCCGAAATAGCTATCACCTCTACCATTTTTTTTTTTTCAAATTATTGTTGCATTTCCACAATAAGTTTTCACAAAAAACGGCCTCAAGCTCATAAAAATTGTTGAATATAATTTCCTCTCTAAATGTATTTCATTTAAGTATGTTTGAAGAAATTAGTTTCTATTTCTCCACTTTGGCACGTCTCAGCCGAGAACACTCAGTTGGTCAATAATAGAAAGCAAATACTTTATCTATTTGCTAACGATTGTAAGCATATATGTATGTTATTATGCATTAAGGCGTATCACGAAAAAAAATTTAGCATTCGCCAGTATAATAAAAAAATTTAGGCACCAGCTAAAAACAGCTAAATTGCGTTTTTTGCTATAACTTTCTTATTTTATGTCTGATTTTTAAAATCTTTATGTTGCCGAAAAGGTCTCACTCAGAAATAATATCCCTAAACGATTACGACCTTGGTAAAATCGCTTAGGCTTTATTCACAAAACAAAAAAGTTATAATGTTTTCAAAATCCGGCAAAACCCACCACTTAGCAGTTACTAATTTTGCGCTTTAATGAATAATTATGTGAAGCAAAATGTTTCCTGGATGAAAGAAATATCCATTATTTTCAACCGTGGAACGAATTATTAACGTTAATTTCGACTTTGGTGAAAATCTTCGTAGCAATGTTATCTACTAAGTCCTTTCTGGAGTGGTGCTGATATTTTATTGGAACTCTTCTTCACTAGCTATACTATGTTCATATCCAACTGTATATGGTCGATATTTAATTAGTAACTTTTACTGCCTCCGGTATTTTTTCGATTGCAATCTCGCATCCTTTGTTATCAAGTAATAATAACTGCTTCGATCCGCCTTGGTTAAAAAAAAAAAAATCATTGAACTTGATGGTATTCCCGCTGTGTCGATAGAGTTGAATATTTACCAAAATCTATTCCAATTTACATAAAGAGATCTGGAATAACCGACTATATTCTTTGTCTTTATAGATATGTATGTAGTTAGATTTTTAGTGATTAAATAATAATTTCCGATAACTATGTACGTTTATAAACTTACGAATTGTGAGTCTGCCAACTACTGGCATCTTCGCGCTTTCCCTAATTCCAATATATTTTTTTATTAAATCGGTTGAATATAGAACTAATTTTCGATTTCTGGGCACACTTGCAATGCGGTTTAAATAAATTAAATATTTTGTTACAACCAGATTTGTTGGGAACTTATTGCTGAACTTATTCTTTGGTTCCTTAAATAGGTTTTACAGTAGCGATCTTGTCTTCAGTTAAACTCCACACTTTCAAGAAAATTAATTTTTGATTGAAAGTACTTTTTTGATCTTATAAGTTGTGATCCGGCGTAAGGTACATATGTATATATGCAAACGTACATGCATACTTATTTATGTATCTACATACTTATGTATTGGTGTACTGTAAATATTCACACTTCAACACCGGCTTGGCAAGTCAAACAAATAGGTGGATACCCGCGTATATCCGTATGTACATATGTAAATATCTGACTATTTGTACATACATATGTATGTATGTACATATGTATATGCGACCAAAGTAATTTCAACTATCTTCAGATTGAGTATTTGTATATTTTTTAAACAAATGTTTTCGTTTAATTTTCACCCGTCTTGGCATGAAATACGTAAATAAAATATGTGCATACATATTTGATGTTTTCCAAAGTAGGTATGCAATGTGTACTTGCAAATAGACATACATACATACATATGTATGCATATTTGAAATTATGCATATAATCTATACATATACATATGTACATACGTATAGTAAATACTCTTGCAAAAATATTTAAGGAAAACATAAAATATTTGTATTGAAAGATCCGCATACCGGTAGGAACATACACATACATATACCTTGTTATGTAAATAGTATATCTATGTTGATATTAAGGTGAAATATATATTTACGTACGTACGTAGCGACTGAATCGTGCATATATGACTTTTATGGCTAGCTACGTAACAATTTTGGGGATAATATTTTACTCAAAACAGAAAAGTTTAACTAAAACATAAGTAATTATGCCAAGTTTAAATAAAATTTTAAAGTTGATTTTTTTAATTTTTTTAAGCTCTGATTAGGAACTTAATATCAACCAATATACTGCCTGTGTTAGTTTTTTTTTGCCAGAAATATTTGTTCTATTGTTGATTCGATCGATGTTTTGTAAACGAACAGGCTTTAACACAAATGCAAAACAGACAGCAGACTCAAAATTAAATTCACGTGTCTCGGCGTTTTTTTTGTTTTTTGTAATTTCTTCTTTCTTTTATAGTTTTTTTTAAGATTCTCTAGAAAGATTTTGAGTATGCAGTTTTATAGCCCATCAAGTTTTAGCGAAACAGAGTGCAAGCTTCAATTTGATTTTTGAAATTTTTTTCTGTCATTGCTGCGTGGCACACAAAACTATGTACTTATGTATGTATGCCGAAAAACTTTTTTTATACGAAGAAACTTCTCATTCAATCAGACATTTAAAATTACCTTCAAAAATAAAATTGTTGATCTTTTTTGATCTCAAAACCGCTTGCAGTTTTTAACATACAAAAAATTTAAAATTTTTTTTTGCTTGCGACTATGGAAATGGATACTCTGACGCAAGAAACGCAAAAATACGTATTTAAAACATTTAAAAAGCGCATTGTATACTAGTTTCAGGCCAAAAAAAGAAAAAAAAGAGTTAATCTTATGTTTTTAATGGACATTTTAAAAGTACGGGTAATTCTTTTTTTTTCAGAATTCCTCATACCAAAAGCCTTAAAACACCGTCTCTTCCTACACCTATCTCTTCTACGCCTTTTTTCCAAAATGGAATACAATGTAGAGCTTGGTTCTTTGTAAGAGAATATATAGCTTAACTAAATTGAAATCGGCTGAAAAATGTGTTTGTTCATTTGTTTGCTTCGGTCAAATCCAGAACGTTAATACTTGAGTTCCGATTTACAGATACATAAGAGGGGATTTTAGGCGAATTATCATGGTGCACCCTTGAAGACAACTTGGTGTTCAAAAATTCTAGTACTCTAATGGTTCGAAAACAATTGGCTTTGGAAGGTGTCAGTGAAAACGAAAAAAATAAATAAATATGTGTAAAATTGTTAGCATATCTTTTTACAGGATTAACGAAAACTGCTGCAGCATAATAGAATATTGATTATCCATGGAAATTAAAGAAGCTTTTTTTTTCTTACTGTCTCTTACAGAATTTCCTGAGAAACGTCCCCAACTCTTTACCGAACATGCGCGCTATGAGCCGGGTGATATTTTACGCGCCAACTGTAGTACACCGCCGTCGCGACCGCGCGCCGATTTGCATTTCACACTCAACAATATACCGGTAAGTAGAAAATTATATTTTTAAATTGAAATTATAAACACAAGTTTACATACATTTGAATCGGTTAATCAAATTATCAAAGGGAATAAATCGGTATTTTTCCGATATGGCAAATTTAATGCAGTTCAACAGAGCTTCTTTAAACGAACCGACCTGCCTCAAAATTGTCATATCGAAAAAATGCTGACTGATTGCTTTTGGTGTGAAACCAAGAGTTCAATTGCTGCTGGTCTCCAATTAGATCAAAATGTCATTGAACTTTCACCTCAAATTTATTATATTTAAATTAGCTTGAAAATACCAAAAAATAGCAGCTAAGAAGTGCACGCTAATTAATAACTCATTTATGCTGCTATATAAAGTTAGAAAATATATATATACCTTTAATCAATTAAATTTCACGCAAATCATTTAGAAAAGTAACAACGTTTATCTTTATCCAATTATTAATTACTAGGCGCAAAAAAAAAACCATTGTGTAGCAATATTGCACGTGCCATTTTTTTCAGTGTGGCACATCACGTTGCATTTTCAACTTACCGGACACAACGTTCTTAGTAGTTTTTCGGACGGTAGAGCACGGTTGCACGTGAGTTGACATCTGTCACGTTTCATTAATTTGCCATTGTAGATTAGAGCGGGAAATGTGATGAACCATATTGTTGACACCAGAACATTTGTAAAATAGTAAATTATATATAGCCGAAAAATATATGGGATGTGGGCCTGGTTATTGTCCGATTTTAAAAATTTTCAGCCGTTTAGTATGTTTTACCAAGCCCAACAACTGCGGCATGTTTGGGAGAAATAGGTGGAGCGGTTATCTAGATATATAAGTACATGTAATCAAAAGTGGGCGTGGCCACACCCATTTTCCAAAAAATTATGATCTTATTTTTCGCTTAAAAATCATTGTAAATATATATTTAGAGCAGCTATGGTCAGAGAGAGCTTTTACTCTGCAACCGTGTATACAAAATGTATAGAAAGCTTAAAAGAGCTTTGCCCGCGAGCAAGGCGTTGCCCATCACCGATTTAGAGTGAATAATCTTCAGTAGTTACTAAAATATCGCAGTTTTCGTGTTTCTGAAAGTTACCGTTATACCATTTTTTTAGACACTCGAAATTAGTGTAGCGTTCTGAAATATTACTAATTTTGTTTTTACACGGCCTTTTTTGCATTGTCTCGATTTAACATGGTTTAGAAAAGAAAGAATTGATTCCGTTTTACACGTTCGATTTAGTTCGCGTAAAAAAGCAATTTTATTGAAGTTTTTTTTGGGTAGTAGCTTAGCGAATTAATCTTCACACGAATCTAACCAGTTTGAATTATTAGTGCAGAAGCGAAGAAGCGAAAAATACGGCGAACGAACGGTGAAAATAAATGTTAGGTATCATCACTTCCACATTTTCGCCGTTCACTTCGCCGCATCTGTCCATTTATTGAATACATATATGGCGACTGTTATTTTCCCCCGCTTCGCCAAATGCATTCGCTTAGCAACTCATAATACCGCTCTTTATTAACCGTAGTCTTTTAGAAATCTGGTTAGGGAATTCCCCTTTATAATTTATTTTCATAGCAGCTTAAGTATGTAATTTCATATTCATGTTACTTTTACTTTAAGATTTGATTTACCTTTACACACTTTTTTGTGTGAATGACTTGTTTTAGTTATTTTTAGAGTGGTTGTTTCTATATATTTCATTCTTTTTTAGATATTTTTTTACTCGGTTATTTCTTTAACGTACCGACCGTGTGAAAGCGGAATTTGGTGTATATTATATTTGTAATTATGCCAAAATTCTATTTAAATTTGTTCATAGTCGCTTCTGCTTAAAGTAATTTAATATATTTACTTGCATTGTATTTATAAACTTGGTTTGCATTTAAAAACCTAAACAATTGGCAATTCTTAATGCATGCTCATCAATAACTTCGAGCAGTTCACTTTCGCTCAATTCGGCATTGGTGACCACAGGCTCGTTATCCCTATTCCAACTCATCATAAATCAAAATGCTGACTGCACGTTCTTAGCAGTTGCTAGTAACTAAATCGTTTTTTCTCCATGTGGCTAAATAAGGGTATTGCTAAACCGATTGACGGCAATCATTCATCATCGCCACTTCTGATGGTTGCTCTGCGGCGAAACGAGGTATAACTGCCAATCTTCATGGAGTGTACCTTTTTATTAGCTGGGTGAAATGGGTTCGAAATTTGCTTTGAAAAGGGTCTTCCTTATGGTGAAAGTTAATGTTAGTTTAAAATTTCATCTAAGAGCTTTAAAAAACCAATGCGCAAGTGTATAACTTTAAGACACTTTAATGAAACGATGGCAGTTTGATAAGTCAGTTCTGTTTAAAAAAAATATATTAAAAGGGGAATTAAAATTCTAAATATACATATTCATCCTTTCGCTATATACATCTAGTTCAGCGTTTTTCCATTTTTATCTATTGCAAGTAGCAGGATTTTTCAAGGACTTCAAAATAGCTTTTGTGTTCTTCATTATCAATTCTCGTACTTTATCTAAGTAACGACTCTTGGAAGCACGAAGCACAATGTGCATGATAGGAAAATTTTAATGCCTTTAATAAGGATAGGACACTAATTATAAAGAAGCATGTGGAAAGAAGCTCCAAGGTACTAAATATTAAAAGAAAGCATTAACAAAAACAGAACTAAATTCAAAAATATGTAATACTAGCAGACCCGGCGAACTTCGTCCCGCCAAAAATTTTAATATATTTTATTGAAACTTTTTGGTCCAACATTTTCACCAACAATTCACGTTTACGATTTTCATTGGCACATTAGTCTGCTAA